AGGTGGATATCTGAGTTTGAGGCCAGCATGGTCTACAGAATAAGTTCCATGACTGATAGGGCAACACAGAGAAACCATATCTTAAACCCAAACACACAAACACACACACACACACACACACACACACACACACACACACAGGTTTATCACTAAAACAGAATAAGATAAAACAAAATTTTCTCAATTTATTTTTTAGTTTAAAATATAGAGAAGTAGCATTTTTCTTCTAATATCATTATATAGTTCTTTATAGTTCTTTTTTTTTGGGGGTTTTGAGACAGGGTTTCCCTGTGGCTTTGGGGATGTCCTAGAACTAGCTCTTGTAGCCCAGGCGGGCCTCGAACTCACAGAGACCCACCTGCCTCTGCCTCCCAAGTGCTGGGATTAAAGGTGTGTGCCACCATCGCCCGGCCATCATTATATAGTTCTTATAAATACTGAACACATGTTGTGTCATGCTTATTACTAAATTGTCCACAAGGCATATAACATGTCACCTGCTGAAAAGCAACACTAAATTCTGAGACCATGTTTAAAAGACAGAATGAATGACATCTAAACAACCAACCAAGAAACACCAAGAAATGTAGAACATTTTGAGTATTTAAAAATCTGATTGCAATGAAGCAGATAAGGAGTCTTAGATCTACCATGTGACATAATAATATATACTATGATGGAGTGACTGAAAGAATAACCAAATTTTCACCATCAGCTGATTGCTTTCTCAATAAGACTTTTCATCATGTCTTTAAAGAAATGCATGTCATGGGAAAAGAAAGAAATGTGATCAAGCTCTCAGATATGTATAGGTCAGTGAATAGCAGTAATTAGCCCTGCACAGATGTGACTAATTTGACCTTGAATCCTTGGTGACTGGAAGATGTCAGGTTTGTTCCTGGAATGTCAAATGTTCACTGATTTTGACAGGATACATGGATATAGTCATCACCAACAATCTTTGAGAAACTTTAAAATAACTGAGGGCCAAAATATTGAAGCATTGCAAATGTTATTTTCTGAACAACATAAAATATGAGTGTGCTGAATATACTTATCAATATGTATGAAGGATTTAAGATCCAACAAGAAAAAAATAACAGAGAAGAAAGCAAGTTAGGATTAGAAGACAGGAAACAAGATCCACTGAAATATTATGATAAAATGCAATTTATGGATCCTATAATCGTATCAACTGTCTGTCCATCCATCTGACTATCTTCTCTTTATCATTTGTGTATGTATATGTATGTATGCATGTGGGTATGTTTGTCACCTATCTACCTACCATCTATCCATCTCTTCTTAAAATCTACCTTTCTCTATCATTTTGACTTCAAAATATTTTACCCCAAAGAACTAATAGAAGAAACAGTGTGTAAAATAATTATAGAGAGAATTGTAGAGATATGAAATTTTATAGTTGTCCCCTTCCTTGACCCTTGTTTTTATAACCCTCAAAGAACTTCAGAAAACTCAAAAATATATTTTTAAAGTATAATATTCATGAAAATCTTCTGGAGTTTAGCTTCCTTCCTCGCCTTTAAAGACTGTTATTAAGCAAGTCTAAAGCCTGACCACATGTTGCCCATGTAGGTTAGGGATCCACAAGCACAATTTGAAAGATGCAATGTAAAAATAAATCACCCTTTATGTTTATAGCATATAAAAAAGCTTTAAGAACTGAGAGGAAAAAATTATGGAATGCAATATGCACAACGCAGCAAGAGACTAATGTGGGGGAAAGTGTTTAGTGATGAAGGCCTTAATCAATTAAATCTTCCTACTGAGTTTATACTTAGCACTCATGGGTCATGTTCATCTTCAACAAACAAGTAAGATTTCATCCTGACATTTTACTTTCTATAAAGAGCTGAACTGTTTTGTTTCCCGCCCCCCAGGAGATTTCAACTGTCTCCAGAGGGTGCTAATTCTCCCTCAAATACTGAATACTTCCATTTTCCCTTCATTTTGTAGGAGCCCTTATCATATTAGCTCCTGTGCCTCTGACATTTTATTCCCCACCTCTAATCAAAACTGTTGCAGGCACTCATATTCAATTATTTCTTGACTTTTAACTCTCAGCTATCTGCCTTAGCAACTACAGCCAAACATTTTCTCTTCCACTCTGTTTTGTGTATTGGTATGAAAGATAGATTTTGTTCACTAATCGCTACTTTATTATCTTCCAATTCTTGAACCACAGCTCTAAATTACATATGCCAGACATGAAGGCATAATGTTGGAGTTGAATCCAACTGAGACTCTGGTTTTGCCTCCTGCATATGACTCTGCTTGAGATGTGCCCCAGGTCCAATTTTTACTGTTTTCCTCTATTTACCTTATCACTGGAAAGTTAAAGTAACACCTCCAAAGTTTTCTATTCCACCTTTCTTGTTCACTTGTTTCTGGTGCTGTTTCACTAAAATGAAGAATTGCTGAAAATCTGGGTCATTGTGGCATTCCAATTCCCATTCTGCCTCCAGTGCATTGTGGCCTGAGATCCAGTGCATCTTGGACTGAGATGGTATCCTCCATGATTCCAGCTCTCTACTGAAAGGTGTGTGTTCTGGCTTCTAAGAGGTTTTCCTGGCCAGGGGTTCAGCTCACACTCCCTTTTTCCCTTTCTCTCTTCAGCTCTGAGAAACAGTGCATTTTGAGATTGTCAGCTTCTGAATTATCTTGGCCACACACACACACACACGCACACACACACACACACAGAGAGAGAGAGAGAGAGAGAGAGAGAGAGAGAGCCTGGACATATATCCTAGTCATTTGCAATTTTTTATATAGTCAGGAAAATTGTACTTGTCTTTGAATAGGAAAATAATAACTGAATTATTTTAAGAAATATTCTAGATACTCTGTATTCCAGAGTAAAAGGGCAAAAAGATGTATTATCAGGAGATAGGTAAGTTGAAGGGGCCTTGTATAAATACTTCATTTTTACAAAGTATTATTAAGCATACTGTGAATTTAAATTCTGACCCAAGTATAACCCTAATCTAGTCATTACATTTCTTTAAGTTTTAATGTCTTTATACTTAGAAGGATTAAATTTAATCTCTTCAATTAGCAGAACCATTTAAAGGATTCAATTTGGAAATCCCATTGAAAAACCTGTTTCTTGGCAAGTAGTAAATCCTTAAAATATTTATTGATGTTTTCATTTCTTCAGTATAAACTACTGAGAACATGGCTTAAAATTCTGTTACTATTAAGTTACATAATCTATAGTGTTTCCATGTATATTGTTCCATGGTTTTGCAGTTTTCAGATGATGAGGTTAAAAACTAGTAATAACTAATTATTGAAAAGGATTTAAACATGTACCACATACTTATTTACCAAGGATAAAAAGAGATTAAGTACTTTCAATAATTTTAAGTATCGGTAAACTTTAATCATACTTTAATTCTTTTCAATAGACTTACACACAAATAAGAAAATATTTTAACCTTTCTGTCCATTGGGCTTGCATGGGTACTTCCTCTATTCTTTCACTTCTATGAACCTATATTCTTCCCTCGTGGCATCACTGTTCTTTACTTTTGCTAGAATCCTTAAGTTGCTGTTTGGATACTGTGTATAAGTTTTCCCATTACCTTTTTCCCCTTTTCTCCCTTTCTCTCTCTGTCCTTTCCTCTCTTTTTCTTGCCCTCCTTCATTCATTCTTATTCTTTTCTTATTTTATTGTTTGTTGAGACAGTGCCTTACTGTATAGCCAAGGCTAACCCTTGAACTCACAGTCTTCCCACACAGGTCTTCCATGTATTTTATTACAAGCTGGATCCAGCACAGCCAGTCTCATTACCCATTTGCGCACAAAGTTGTCATTGAAAAGATTCAGCAAGAAATTGGTGAGACTGTGACATATTCATTAGTTTTTGCCTCTTTCCTTTCATGGTAGTCATTAATCTCTTTTGTATCAAGTGGCAGGGGAGCAACAGTCTTTGAATGAATATACCATGTGTGGAGAAGTGGGTCTGCATATAGTGACAACCACTGTGGGCTCGAGTAGAATTGATTAACAGATACTAACAGCTGATTCTGGAACATCCAGGATTAGACCTAAGATGACCTGTTAAACATTGGGTGGATGACAAAGGAGCAGGCAGGCAGATCTAAAATTGGAGGTGCTAGTGTAAACCAGAAAATCATTTGTTCAAAACTGAAAACTTTTTAAAGGATTTAGTGGTACCTGGGGGACTTTCTCCACTTGATTTTATTTGACTGTACAGACTGTACTTTAATGAAATTGGTCTTGAGTAAAAGTAGATGTAGTTTTTTGTTTGTTTGTTTGTCTTTAGAAATTGATAAAAGCACCCATTATTGGATGATTTTATCAGACTTCTTGTCCCAGGAAATCAAGGTGCTGAACTTATGCAATGGTCTACCAGCCATGAAGCTCAGGGCTCATGAAGAGGCTTGAAGTCAGTAACGCTTTCCACCAGGTTCCCACATGAATTGTTAGTACTGTCCCCACACAGAACTCTGCTTCTCCTTATTTGACATTAATCTAAGTAGAATTGTTAGCAAACTGGTCTCCAGTTACCAAAGAAACTTTTTAAAGAAGGAAGGGATGAAACTGTAATCAACACTGAAAAAATAATTTTACCTCCTCTTCTTGGTAAAATTGTACACCATAACATATATGTTAGAGAACAGTGGTAACAGCTCCTATTGGTCAGTACGACCAGGGGTTAGGAAGATGAGAGAAGATAAGATGGCAGATGGACTAGCCTGCTATTTCTGCTCATAGATAAATGGCTTTTATCTTTTAATAAATGGCATTGATCAACTTTTGCTCTTAAAATCCCATAGAACTTCAGTATTGGCTAACTCTAATCTGCAACCATATAAGAAAAGGATTCCTGAAAGAATATTACCTGGCAAAAGCAAATCTAAAACAGCCCAAGTGCACTTACCACTTAAAAGGGAAATATGGGGTCGATGTGCTCCCCCTTGTTCAGGCCAGCTGATTCTGTGGGTTTCACCAGCCTGGTGAAAGCCATTCCACCACCAATGATCATCTCATTGACTTTGTCCAGCATATTATTGATCAGCTGGATCTTGTCTGCAACTTTAGCTCCTCCCAAGATAGCCAGGAAGTGACTTTCAGGACTCTCCAAAGCTTTGGCAAAGTAGTTCAGCTCCTTCTTCATCAAAAATCCACCAGCCTTCTGTGGCAGATTCACACCCACCATGGAGCTGTGGGCTCGGTGTGCAGTTCCAAAAGCATCATTGACATAGACATCCCCAAGTTTGGACAGTGAGGCTCTGAAAGCATCAATTTTGTCTGGCTCAGCTTTAATCTTGTTGCCAGAATCATCTTTTCCCTTCCCTTCTTCCTCTACATGAAAGCGGAGGTTCTCCAGAAGGATGACAGTGCCAGCTGCTGGACTGGCAAAGGCATTCCCTACTTCTGGCCCCACACAGTCCTTCAAGAACAGAACATCCTTGCCCAGCAGAGATTTGAGTTCTGCAGCAACTGGCTCTAAGGAGTACTTGTCAGGCATGGGAACACCATCAGGCCGGCCCAAGTGGTTCATAAGGACAACTGACTTGGCTCAACAACATGGAGATTGGCACTTCTCTGTATGATGAAGAAGGGGCCAAGATGGTCAAAGATCTCATGGCCAAAGCCAAGAAAAATGGTGTGAAGATTACCTTGCCTGTTGATTTTGTCACTGCTGACAAATTTGATGAGAATGCCAAGACAATTTTGTTCAAATGACTGCAGAACCTGAAAAGCTGTTGCTGCTATTGATGTACAACATACTGCTATTATTGGTCTTTTTATATAAATATAAATATATATACATATATAATTTGAATTTTTGGAAACTTTAGCTGTGCTGTCAACTTTGGAAAGATGTATCCCAGTTTACTGTGTTGAGTTGGCATTGTACAGAAATTAACAGCCATATTGGTCTAGAAATGTTGAACTTAATTTTTTCCATTTGTACAGGGGTAACACACTGTATTAAATATGTAAGGTCTTATCTACGTGGGTTTGATTACAAAAACTAATAAAGTATTCTCTAAATAACAAAAGAAATTAAAGAAGATACCAGAAAATGGAAAGATCTCCCATGCTCTTGGATAGGTAGAATCAACATAGTAAAAATGGCAATCCTGCCAAAAGCAATCTACAGATTCAATGCAATCACAATCAAAATACCAGCACAATTCTTCACAGACTTTGAAAGAACAATATTCAACTTCATATGAAAAAAACAAAATAAAAAAACCCAGCTTCACCAAAACAATCATGTACAATAAAGGAATTTCAGGAGGCATCACCATCCCTGACTTCAACTGTGTTAAACAGTTCTTTCTGTTCTAGGAACGTGGTTGAACAGATGTCCTTGTTGTATAAATGTTCATCCTTTGGTTATATGCCTAAGAGTAGAATTTCTGGATCTTGTGGTAGACTGATTCTAGTTTTCCTGAGAAAACTCTGTACTGATGTTCAAAGTGGCTGTGCTAGTTGGCACTCCCACTAGCAGTGGAGGAGTATTCCCCTTTCTCCACATCCTCTCCAGCATAAACTGTCATTGGTGTTTTTGATTTTAGCCATTCTGAAAGGAGTAAGATGGTATCACAGAGTTGTTTTGATTTGCATTTCCCTGAGGGCTAAGGATGTTGAGTACTTTATTATGTCTGTCAGCTATTTTAGATTCCTCTATTGAGAATTCTGTATTTAGTTCTGTACCCCACTTTTTAATTGGATTATTTGTTGTTTTGGAGTCTAGCTATTTGAGTTCCTTGTAAATTTTAGAGATCAGCCCTCTGTCAGATGTGGGGTGGGTGAATTTCTTTTCCCATTCTGTGGGCTGCTATTTTGTCTTGTTGACTGTGTCCTTTGCCTTACAGAAGCTTCTCAGTTTCAGGAGGTCCCATTTGTTAATTGTTGATCTCAGTGTCGATGCTACTGGTATATGTTATGTTCAGGATGCAGTCTCCTGTAACAATATGTTCAAGGGTACTTCCCAATCTCTCTTCTAAGACTTTTAAGTGAGGCTGGATTTATGTTGAGGTCATTGATCCATTTGGACTTAAGTTTTGTGCATGGTGATAGATATGGATCTATCTGCAGTCGTCTACATGCCAGCATCCAGTTATGCCAACAACATTTGTGGAAGATGCTTTCTTTTTTCCTTTGTATAATTTTAGCTTCTTTGTCAAAAAACAGGTGTTTGTACATATGTGGGTTTTCTATTGGATTCCATTGGTCTACCTGTCTGTTTTTGTGTCAATACCAAGCTGTTCTCAGGACTATAGAGCTTTAAATCAGGGATGGTGATGCCTCCAGAAGTTCCTTTATTGTACTGGGTTGTTTTGGCTATCCTGGGTCTTTTGTTTTTCCATATAAAGTTGAGAATTGTTCTTTCAAGGACAGAGAAGAATTGTACTGGGCTTTTGATGGGGATTGCATTGAATCTGTAGATTGTTTTTGGCAAGACTGCCATTTTTACTATGTTGATTCTACCTATCCAAGAGCATGGGAGATCTTCCCATTTTCTGGTATCTTTCTTTAAAGAATCACAGTTCTTGCGATACACATCTTTCACTTGTTTGGATGGCATTACCCCCAAGGTATTTTATGTTGTTTGTGACAATTGTAAAGGGTGATGTTTCTCTGATTTCTTTCTCAGCCCATTTATCATCCATATATTAGGGCTACTGATTTTTTTGAGTTAATCTTGTATCCTGCCACTTTGCTGCAGATGTTTATCTGCTGTAGGGGTTCCCTGGTATCGTTTTTTTTTTCTTTTTCTGTGTCACTTATGTAAGCTATTATATCATTTACAAATAGTGAAAGAGTGAATTCTTGTTTTCCAATTTTTATCTCCTTGATCTCCTTTTGTTGTCTTATTCCTTTAGCTAGAATTTCAAGTACAATATTGAAAAGGTATGGAGAGAGTGGATATTCTTATTTTGTTCCTGATATTAGAGGAATCACTTTGAGTTTCTCTCCATCTAGTTTGATGTTGGCTGGTGGTTTACTGTATATTGTTTTTTATTATATTCAGGTATGTTCCAGGTATAATAATATCCCTGATCTCTCCAGGACCTTTATCATGAAGATATGTCGGATTTTTTTTCAAAGGCTTTTTCAGTATCTAGTGAGATAATCATGTGGTTTTTCTTTTTCAGTTTGTTTATATGCAGAATTACATTAATGGACTTTTATATGGTGAACCATCCCTGCATCCTTGGGATAAAGCCTACTTGATCATGGTGGATGATTTCCCTCATGTGTTATTAGATTTGATTTGCCAGTATTTTATTGAGTATTTTTGCATCAATGTTCATGAGGGAAAATGGTCTGTAGTTCTCTTTTTTTTTTTTCTCGATACAGGGTTTCTCTGTGTAGCTTTGGAGCCTACCCTGGCACTCACTCTGGAGACCAGGCTGGCCTGGAACAGAGATCTGCCTGCCACTGTCTCCCCAGTGCTGGGATTAAAGGCGTGTGCAACCAACGCCTGGCTGTAGTTCTCTTTCTTATTTGTGTCTTTGTGTGGCTTGGGTAACAAGGTTATTGAAGCCACATAAAAAGATAGTTTGGCAATTACCTTTCTGCTTCAATTTTGTGGAACAATTTGAGGAGTATTGGTATTAGCTCCTCTTTGAATTTCTGGTAGAATTCTGCACTGAAGCCATCTGGCCCTGGGCTTTTTTTGTTTTGGAGACTTTTGTTGACTGTGTCTATTTCATTGGGGATTATAGTTCTATTGAAATTGCTTATGTGTTCTTTGTTTAATTTTGGTAAGTGATATCTATCCAGGAAACCATCCATTTCTCTACATTTTCAAATTTTGTAGAGTACAGGTTTTCAAAGTATGACTTGAAGATTCTCTGGTTTTCCTCAGTGTCAGTTGATATGTCCCCTTTTCATTTCTGATTTTGGTAATTTGTATGTTCTCTTTCTGCCTTATGGTTAGTTTGGATAAAGGTTTGTCTATCTTGATGATTTTTTTGAAGAACCAACTCTTTGTTATATTGATTCCTTGTTTTCTTTGTTACGTGTCCCATAAATTTGGGTATGTTGTATCTTCATTTTCATTGTTTTCTAGGATGTCTGAAATTTGTTTCTTTATGTCTTTCTTGACCCAGAAATGGTGCAATTATGCATTGTTCAATTTCCATGACTTTGTAGGTTTTCTGCAATTTGTGTTGTTGTTGAATTCTAACCTTAAGCCATGGTGGTCTGATAAGATACAGGGGGGTTATTCCAATTGTTGTATCTGTTGAGGTTTACTGTGTTGCCAAGTATGTGGTTAATTTTAGAGAAGGTTCCATGTGGCTCTGAGAAGAAGGTATATTCTTTTGTGTTTGAATGGAATGTTCTGTAGATGTCTGTTAATCCCAGTTGGGTCATAAATTCTGTTATTTCACTTGTTTCTTTGTTAAGCTTCTTCTGGTAGTCCTGTCTAGTGGTGAGAGTGAGCTGTTGAAGTCTCCCACTATAACTGTGAGAGGTCCCATGAATGATTTGAGTTTTAGTAATTTTTCCTTGAGGAATGTGGGTTCCTTTGTATCTGTGGCATAGATGTTTAGAATTTTTTTCCTGTGATGAAATTGAAATGACCTTCTTCATTTCTTTTATTTGATTTTAGTTTCAAGTCTAATTTGTTAGATATTAGGATATCTATACCAGCTTCTTTATTGGTTCCATTTGATTGGAAAATCTTATCCCAACCTGTTACTCTGAGGCAATGTTTGTCTTTGAAGTTGAGATGTGTTTCTTGTATTCAGCAGAAGGATGGATTTTGTCTTTGTGTCCATTCTGTTAGCCTGTGTCTTTTTATAGGCAAGTTAAGACCATTAATACTGAGGGAAATTAAGGACCATTAAGTATTAATTCTTGTTTGTTTTGGATTTGTTTTTGGTGGTATTGTATTTGAATTTACTTTTTGTTTTCACTTTTGATAAAGTGGGATTATCTATTGCCTATGTTTTTGTGAGTATATTTAACTTCTTTGGGTTAGAGTTTTCCTTCCAGTACTTTCTACATGACTGGATTAGTGGCTATGAATTGTTTAAATCTGGTTTTGTTATGTAATGTCTTGGTTTTTCCATCTATAGTGATTGGTGAGTATAGTAGTCTGGGCTGGCATCTGTTGTCTCTTAGTGTCTCTTAGTGTCTCTTAGTGGAGAATATCTAACCAGGACCTTCCAGCTTTTAGAGATTCAATAGAGAAGAGAGGTATAATTCTGATAGGTCTGCCTTTATCTGTTACTTGGTCTTTTCCCTTTGCTGCTCTTACTATTCTTTCTTTATTATGTATGTTTTGCATTTTGATTATTATGTAATGAGGGAAATTATTTTTGTGGCCTACTCTATTTTGTTTTCTGTAGGCTTAATTGACTTGTCTTTTTTAGGTTGGGAAAGTTTACTTCTATGATTTTGTTGAATATGATTTCTGCAACTTTGAGGTGGGTTTCATCACCTTCTTCTTCTCTACCCATTATTCTTAGGTTTGACCATTTCACAGTGTCCCATATTTCCTGGATATTTTGTTTTAGGGATTTGTTCGACTTAACATTTTCTTTGGTTGATGAATCTATTTCTCTTAGTATATCTCCAACACCTGAGATTCTCTCTTCCATCTCTTGTATTCTGTTGGTTATGCTTGCATCTATAGTTCCTGATCATTTACCCATCTTTTCTAATTCCACATTCCCTCAGACTGTATTTTTTCTTTTTCTTTTTTCTTTTTGTCTGTATTTCAGCTTTCAAACCTTGCACTGTTTCAATTGTTTCTTGCAATTTGGTTTGTCTTTTCTTCCATTTCTTTAAAGGATTTTCTCATTTCCTCTTATAGGATCTCTATCATCTTCATGCAGTTGATTTTAATGTCATTCTTTTCTGCTTTATCTGTGTTGGGATGTTCATGTCTTGCTGGTGAAGAGTCCATTGACTCTGGTAGTGTTATATTGTTTTTTCTGCTGTTGAATGTGTTCTTATAAGTCTTCCCATCCCTTCTTCTAGTGCAGATGCAAGTGGGATATCTTCCTTTCATGGTGGGTGTGGGTCTAAGGTTCTCTTTCAGTAGGTGCAAATAAGTTCAATACTCTGATGGGTCTCATGGTGGGTGCAGGCCTGTCTGAGGCACTCCCTCTCTTTGTGGGGGGGAGCAGTACTAGCCCAGCAATGTCAGAAGACTTGAGGTTGCTTAGTTCACCTGGTGTGAATCGACCTGCCTGCAGTCCCCAGGCCAGGAAATCACAGAGTGGGCAAGGGAAATTCGTGCCTGAGACAGGGGCCCAAGCTCTCCTCTCCCCTGAGACAACATATACTCTTGTAACCCTGTTAATCACCTTGCAGATAACCTAGTCTATGAAAAGCTCTGTTTCAGTGTGCAGGTGCTGCTTCCAAAGTTCTTTTCAACAGCCTTATTTTTAAATGGGGGCAATAACATCAACAACAAAACAGGTAACTGTAATGCTTCCAACCCATTAAAGATGATGAATTCTAAGCTTTCTTTAAAGGATTTCTATGGGTCTGGAAAGATGGCTTAGGGGTTAATAGCACTTTTTTTTTCATTCAGAAGACTGGAGTTTAATTCACTACACCCAAGTCAGGCAGCTTACTACCACCTTTAACTACAGGTTGAGGGGATCCAATTCCTTTCAGAACACCTCAGGCACTTGCTTTCATGTGCACAATCTTATAGACACACATGCACACACACACACACACACACACACACACACACACACACACACACAAACACACACACACACAGACACCTACATATTTTAAAAATAAATAAATCTTTAAAAGGTATTTTTCAGATATTAATACATATTATTACTTGTTATGTCCCTTGAGGCCTACATAAGGTTATATATACACATTTATGCATATTCAAATATATCTAAGTATATGAACATGGAGAAAAATATGTAAAGAACACATTTTATATTGGGTTGTCTAGTGGGGAGCTGGCAGGGAGTAAGTTTTCTCAAGAGAGTGGAGAAGACAAGATATGCCAAAATTCAAAAATCAAAAGCAATTAGCACTAATGTATGGTATATTCAAACACATTATAATTATACAAACATAAAAATAAACTAAGATAAAATAAGATTCGAATCAAAGCTTTGGTGAGTTCTGAGTAATGGAGCCTTCCCAGAAATGAACACATCTTTCTTCATCTTTTTTTCTAGCAAAAAGCAGTTTACATGTTAGTGAGTGTGGAAGGAGACACAGCTTCAAAGGCTGTACATGCAGTTAGAAAATGCATTCAAAAGGATGAATTCAGGACAAATTCTGGCCCAGAAGAAGACAGACAATGCTGTGTAGGAGGTAAATGCCGTAGTCTGGAGTTTGAAATATTTCAGAAGTCACATGCAACATGCTTGGCGACTTCCCATGGGTGGAGAAGGATCATTTTGGGGGTGGGATCAAGTTGAAGGGAGTGAGGTCTTTGGGAGCATGTTCTTAGTTTTGAGACCTTGGGTCCTCTTCACTTTATGCTATCCACTCCTTTCTCCCTCCTGGTTTTAACTTCCTTACTTACATCAGGTCCCAAACAATACAATCTCTAAAATGGTGAACTAAATGAAGCCTTGCCTCTCATAAGAGGGTTTTTCACAGGTATTTTTGTCCCAGTAACAGAAGACTACTACAGCCAGAGATAGGGAAGACAGCTTTCTATGGCGGGGAGGCATGCCGATGTAATCACTTCATTGTGAAAGTGGTCATCACTTCAGGGAATTCAGACCTTTATAGAGAAGAGAAAGAAGCCAGGTTGGAGAGAAAGACAAAATCAGCAAGCAGAGCAAGTGGGACAAGATGCAGGTGTGAGTGAGAAGCATTCATCTTCCTAAAAGCTCTCTGACTATGGCAGTGCAAAAAGGGGATAAGTTTCCAGGCAGAGAGAAAAATGCTGGCCCTGCAATCCCAAGGGACATCGGTCACCTTGAAAAGGTCATGGGTAATCCAGGAAGCAAGAAGCAGCTGGCTTGATCCTGTGTGGATTAATTTTATTTGTTTGTTTGTTTATTCATTCCTTTGTTTGTTTTGTTTTTTTGAGACAGGGTTTCTCTGTGTATCCCCGGTTGTCCTGGGACTTGCTCTGTACACCGGGCTGGGCCTCAGAGAGGCCTGCATCTGCCTTGAGTGCTGGGATTAATGGTATGCACCACCAACCTGCAGGGATTCAGTTTTTATAAGAGAAAAGCCAGAAAGAGTTTACAATGATGTAAAGAGTTGTGAAGAAGAAAATCGAAGTCCAGTGTAATAAATATTTATGAATATTTTGAAATACCACCATAACTTTGGCAAGAAGACACCATCGGATAGCAGTAGCAATTTTCTGAATCAACAAGACTTTTATGAAACGGCTGGTTGGAATTCAGATGGAATATTTCTTGGCTAATAATAGCCACTTTATCAGGCCTTTTGTGAACCATTCAAATCCCACATGGTACATTTCTTATACCAGCCAATGCAGCAGTGACATTTTCTGTGAATATTCCACTCTGCTTCAGGTAGGAATATGCTCACAATGTCTCACAGATTGAATCCAGGAAGAGAGAGAGACAGAGAGAGAGAGAGAGAGAGAGAGAGAGAGAGAGAGAGAGATGATGAGTTTCTTCTTTCTTCTAGGTAGACATGTTCTGAGAGATTTTGAAAGGGAATTTTTTTTGGAGGGGGTGTACAAATGCTGCTTGGCCAATGACTAGGATTTGTCATATGCTAGCTCAGTCTTAATTATCAACCATAATCATAAAACTTATGTCTTCCTGGTGGTCACATGGCAACTCCAGAGTAGAGAGCAGGAGGAAGAGGGGAGCAAGAGGGTGACTTCCTATTTGTCCCTGCTTATATGAGTCTGCCTGCTATGTCACTTCCGGACTATATCACAAGACTTCTTTTTACTACATTTCCCAGAATCCTCATTGACTCCTAGTCCCACCTATCTTGCTTTCCTATTGGTCAACTGGAAGGGAAAAAATAATAAAAGTCTAAAACTTTGAACTCCAATGCCCAAATAGAAAAACTCTTAAGCTTCTCTGAGTTCTCAAAAGGCAGCCCTATAGGCAAGGTTAAACAAATGTCCACATGACTCAAGGCCTTAGTCCAGATATCACACCCTTAAGCTGTGTCGACATTCCTCTAGCCCAAAGATGATCAGATATTTATCAATTGTAGAAGTCCCTGGCCCAGGAGATAATTAACAAACTCATTTCCTCTGCAGCATCCTGCTTAAATGCACCTTGCCTGAAGCATACAATCATTGTCCCATCCTGTGTAACCATGGAAGTTTTCTAATCTTGGGGCTTCCAACCCTACAATTTTCCCTTATAAAAACACCCTGTTATTCTTTTGTTTAAAAAGAAGAAAGGAGAAATGCTGAGACATGAGACATGTTGACTATAAGTTTATTATAAGGCCAGGCAGAATGGGGAGACTAAGAAGAGGAACAGGGTAATGGCTGACCGCCATGGTCGGTCGCCATAGAGCGGCAGAGAGAGAGCATAGGTGAGAGAGAGAGTAGAGAGGAAGCAGAGAGGAAACAAAGAGCATAAATGGGCAGGGACCTGTCTTTTAAAGGGGTCCTCTGCACCTGCGTGCAGACTTAGTTCCCATGGAACCTTGCGCTGACCAGGGTATTGCCTGTTCCACCAGGTAACAGGGGCAGGCCAGCATGATGCCTGAACCTTTCACACCCCTCTGTTGAAAGTGGGGAATCTGTTTGTTCTCGAACAGATGGGGTCCTTGCTGCAGCTCCAATCCTCGAATAAATAAAGAAACCTTTGTCCTTGAATTCGGTGAGTCGTTTCCTTGGCGGCAGCGGGTTCTTTTGGGGTTCCGTGATCTGGGCACAACATTTTCAAACAACTTTCCCATAGTAGCAATAACCAACTAGCTCCATCACATATTCTTGTGTTCCTCTCATGTGATATGTTTTTCTATCCCTCATTTCCAGGACTTTTGTCAGACTTCCAGGTAAATCATTACTCTTGAGCCTTTGTCTCAGGCCCTGCTTTCTAGTGAAGCCAAGCTAAGGCAAGAGATTTGTGTCTTGAGAGAAAAATCCCCTCCTTTCTCCCTCCTACCTATCTCCCTCCCTCCCTCCTTCCTTTCTTCATGCTTGCTTGCCACCTGCCTGCTTTTCTCCTTTCTTCCCTCCTTACCCCTCTCCTTTTGTTCTTTCAGGAGCCAACTGTGTCTCTGAATCCTTTTAGTTTCCAATTGTTCCTAAGTGAACTTCTACCTTCAGTTTCTGCCTTAAAAGTCTAGCCCTTAGGTGAGTGGCGAGAGGGAACCAAGTGTTCTGTAATGGATCTCCAATTAACGGTAGAATATACAATGGCAGGTAAAAAAGAAAAAAAAATCAGCTACTTCTGAATAAAATGCTATTGTAATTAAAAATCTGTTAGGAGAAGCTGCCCTAATTTTCCTTTATGCTTCTTGAAAATTTGCCAAGAATTTAAACTCCTTTTGTCATTATACCAGGCTTTTGGACTTTAACAGTCCCTCGACTCTTTAGTTAATTTTATGTCTTCAACCAAAATTACTTCTCCAGGCTTTCCTTTCTTCTTTTATGTGGCCTAATTTAGTAAGATTTTTGGAGATAGTTATTCTGATTATGCTTTTGTTATTTAATTATGTGATCCATTGTAGCAATCTCTCTATTGTGCAAGCAGCTTTCAAATGGAGAATACTCCTTTTGACACTAATCCAGGAATTCTCTGGTTTTATGATTTGTCTCTTTTGATTTCAAGGTTGTTCGAAGAATTATGTAGGGTTAATAGACAGCAGAAGCAAGACCAGGGCTTGAGATTTTTTTCAACTGTTGCATTCAGACAGAAGAGCTCATCATTTCTGAACATATTTGCTTAAAGGTTGTCAGTTAACCATAGTGATTTCTCCAAGGACAACAGCATAAAGTTTTGGCTCCTTGACATTTCTGAGATTTGATAGGAGGCTAAATGCTTTTAAAATGCACAAAGGATTGGGGAGCTGTTTTTATGGAAAACATTGGGTTTGAGCTGGAACTTAAGTTTGAATGTCAATTCTTTGCTTGCATCTGATTTATAATTCTAATTTTGAGTCTGTGAGATTGAAGAAAACAGAGAGAAGTGAATTTCTCCATAGGCCCACCCAGTCTCAAGCTCACCTTTGGGGCCTTTAAAATGGAGAATTGAGTTCTATTACAAAGTATTTAAGCATGTGGATATTGTCATCAAATAGTCAAACATCAAATCCTGACCCTACCATTTGTTTCCTGAAGGTGAGGCATTTTCCTTGATTTCTCTGAATTGCTAGTTTCCCATCATCATCACATCATCAATAGGTGGACCTTAGAAACTTTGTGTAATTATTATTATTATTCACTGTATTTGCTAAAATAAAACATAACACACTAATAAAAGCCTATGATTCAGTAGATCCTTGGATAAAGCAGAAGATAAGAGCCAAGGAAAATTAGGATTTGATATTAAAACAAAAACAAAACAAAAAAAAAAAACAATGTCTGTAGAAGAAGCAATCCCATGCATTACTTAAGATGATGATTTCTGAGCCTAAAAGTCAGGGTTCAAATCCCAGCTGTGTCACTAATTAGCAAGAATTAGCACTTAAATGAATTACTTTGACCGGACCCTCGGGTCAGTCATTCAGGGTTCCGGAGGGGGCTGCCTGAAAAGAGTCATGGGCGAGAAAAGGGAAGGAGACCAAGCAGGCGCAAAAGAAAGAGGACCCAGGGTCCATCTATGCAATGTCAAGGCCTCGATTTATTGGGGTTCAGACTGGGTTTATATAGCCCTGCAACAAGGAAATTAGGCAGGCGGGGTATAACAGGAAGGAGCTGGAGCATTCTTCTTATCATCCGGAATATCTTGTGATCTTCCCCAGAACAGCAACAGGAAAGCCCCAGGCCCTTTCTCGGAACAGAAGCAATTAGCAGTTCCGTGTGGCCAAACCATCTAATTACAGGTTACAGGAGGCTCACAGAGCTGGCTTTAAGCTGCAAATTTAAAGGTCATTAAAAGGCTTACAAAGGTGGGCTTTAAAACCCATAGTTTAGGGCCCATGGCCCTTAACATTACTTAACCTTTTGGTGCCTGTTTCTTCAATGTAAAACGGAGATAATTAGTGTTGACCTCCTAAAATTGACCTCCTAAAATTGTTATCAAAGTTTAACTCTATTTTTTAAGCACTGCCTGGCAGAACCAGTCTCATGATTATGTGACAATGACAGCTATACAAAGTGCCATGCTCACAACTATCCCAGGCTTGGGGCACTTTTTTGCTATGATGCCTTAAAATGTTTAATAATTTCTAATTATTTTTAATGATTTTAAGCCTGCATGTGTGAGCAAGGGGGATGAACTTGGTTTAAATACATGCTCTGCTCCTGGTTGCTACACCAGCCTGGATCATTCATCATGCTTCTTGAGCACAGAAGTCTGATGGACCCAGTGCCAAAATCCCAAGAAATGCAAAGTGACCACAAACTAAAAGTGCTGTATCTATGGCTGAATACACAGCCATCTGGCAGCCCATGAACAGCACAATTACTTATTGAATCAGATCAGATATTTCCTCAAAGGCAGAAAGAAGGCAATGTTGTTCCAGCAAATACAGAAAATCCAAACATTCTATCACACTATTTTACCTTCCTCTTTATTGTCCAATCTCTTCCACTGAAGATACAAAATAAAAAGAAAGGGAAAGTGTTCTTTTCTTTTCTGTCCATCCTTGCTCATCAGGAAGCAGAAGGCAGACGGTGCTGCTAGAATACACTGAAGGAGACATGGACTGAAAACACCAGAGCTGTTTTTGTGTGGTTTCTTCTGTCCTATCAACTGTGCAGCTGTGGCAAATGTTAATTGTGTGATTTCATCACCTGTACACAGGTGGCAAATGTTCTTATGCATTCCTGTAAAGCTGGCATTGAAACATTTGAAACTAAGGCTATGTTAATGGTTTGGATGAGAATCACAGCCATGGGCTAATAAGATTGAATATTTGGGCCCCTGTTGGTGGCTCTTTGGGAAGGATTAGGAGGATTAGGAGGTGTGGCTTTGTTGGAGGAGGTGTGTCACTGAAGGTTGGGCTTTAAGGTTTCAAAGTCTCTTGCTATTTATTCCTACTGTTTTCTGTCTCTCTGTGTCTCTGTCTCTGTCTCTTTGCCTTTCTCTCTCTCTGCCTCTTGTTGTGGTTCAAGATGCAAGTTCTCTGCTGTTACTTTGACCAGCACCTGCTATTTCTACTCTGTCCCCTGAAACTACAAGCCCAGAATAACCTCTATCTTCTACAGATTTCCTTTATCATTGTGTTTTATCATAGTGGTAGAAAAGTAACTAGTACAGCCACATACTTTGAAAGAATTAGTATTAGAGTTTAGATACAGCTCAGTGGCAGAGTTTGTTTAGCATGCCCAGGGCCCTGGGTTTTATTCGATGAATCAGGCAAAGAAATTATTATTTACTACAATGACATTAAACAGTAAATCATAAACACATCAGAAAATCAAAAGTCAGACTGTGAAAGAAAGAAACAATAGCCCATGTATTGCAATACATATTATAATGGTTTAATCTTGCTCTTTAAACAGGATTTCCTGATTATCTTTTGCAAAGAGCTCTACAAATTATATATATGGCCTGGTGCTTGGCACATTATACATTCTATGTCCATCTCCATGCATATGCACGCACACATACACACACACACACACACACACACACACACACACACACACACACACAAATGGTTATACAAATGTGTATGGAATTAATGGTGGATCTCGATTTTTACACAGGAATTTTTTATTTCTAGAAGGAAAACTTAAAACACATATTCCTACAAAAATATTAACAGTGGAAAAGATGTCTCTTTTTAATACGCAAGCCTGTGCCTATGAGTTTGACCTCCCTGTGACCCATGTATATAGCCCTTCTAGAACAGGGTTTTGCCTTGTACTCCTCAAATGGTGCTATACAGTGAAACAATAATGATGCATAGTCCCTCCTCAATTTGCTTCCTTCAGTGATCTTCCAAAAATCCTTACAATCTTCTAAGTCCTTTCAAATACAACATTCCATCTAAACATCACAGTCCTGTATGTTGTGTAGGAACTATAAGATGATGTTAGTGTCTGGCTAGTCACCAGCTTCTCCCTGACAGTTGTTACCTGCTCAGTTCATCTAAGTAGGGTCTGACCCCTAAGTCTTACAGATTCAGAAAACAGACAGTGTCAGTTATCCAGAGCTCTGTCAGAGTAACACACTCTGCTTCCCCCAAAATGGGTTTATGAAGAATGAAACAGAATGTGATTGTTCTACTTAGTAGAGCGAAATGCAACTCTCCAGCCGACTGTACCATTTGTTCCACATAGAAACATTCAGGGAAGTAGATTGTGAGAATTCAGTTCTAGGCATGGAGTCAGTGTAGAGAGTGGATAGCTTGGGCTCAGTAGAGTCAGATGTTGTTGAGCTGATAGACATACTTGACAGTGAGCCCAAATGGACCAGTGGGCATCATTTGATCTGATGACACTTTGGTTCTCAGTGATGAAGGTATGACTTCTTTCCTCTCATCCTACTTGCTGATTGAGCATCCTCTCTTGGGGCACCTGATTTTTATCAACACCACAGCAGTGAAGCTGTTTTCCTTCCTGAATTTGTCATGGAGAACACTTTCTCATCCCTAAAGTACTTTCATGTAGAAGGGCTTTCGCAGTGAGTATCAATTTCCAGGCTTTGCTTAGCTTTTTTTTGTGGACTGCATTGGTTTCACTTCTGTCTTCAGACAGTCTTGTTTTCATTGTGCAAGACAGCAAACAGCCTCTGGGAATGTTAATAACTTGTGCTGAGGATAGAACTCTTGTGTTTACTTGC